TACTTTTTAACTATTTCACACAGATTACTGGTTTTTCCTGTCTAAACAGACACAACAGAATTTTAAGCTATCCTAATCCATCTACCCCAGACTGAAAGCTTAAGCCTTGCAGAATCCTCTTGCTTCCAGCAGCAACACCTTTGGAATACATGCCTGGGTAGCTCTGTAACTGTAGCACCCTCTGCTGCTATTTGAGTTCCAAAACATGTAATTGTACACTGAACCAAGGAGAAAATAAAATTAATATGTATTGATTATGTTGTTTTTTGAAAATGGCTACATTATTAACTAATGCTATTTGTATTTTACAAGAAAATGTTTTGCTATTGCATATAGTATATTTGCAACTATCTGAGCACCCTTTAATGTCTTGTGTCTGTGTTAACATCATGTAGATACTAGACAAAAACCCCAAAACACGCTGTATTTCACTGCTTAAAATTTTCCTTTACACTCACCATAGATAGTTTAGACTGGTTGCAATTTTTAAAGACATTTATATTTTCGCCCTTGACCATTCAATTTAAATATAGACATGATCTGAAATTATTACTGTAGTGATAAAATTATCATTATAAAAAGTATAGTCATAACTGCTTTCTCCTGCTAGGAAAGGCCAGAGAAGGTGATCCTCTCAAAAGCTCATTCTTGCAAAATTTCCTTGCTTTTTGGACAGTCTGTTGCAGAAGCAATTTTTTTTTTCTGCAAGGATGAGCATGGCATGTGGTTCCTGGAGCCAGCTGATGCTATCCCACAATGCCACCACTAAGCCTTCTGCCTAGCATCCATTAGTTCTTTTCAAGGACTATCTTAGGACTAGAGATGGTCTCAGGATGTACCCTCGTTTAACAGATGGCATACTGTCGTGTAAAATGCACAGACTGATCCTTTCCTTCATTCCAGTCCTCCTTTCCCCGTCTCCTGTTTATGCATAGAATTAAAGCTGAATGAAGCGCATTTAGCATTGCATCCTGTCTGCGTGGAGAATTCAGTCAAGAGTTTTCACGTGGAAGCTGCTCTCTCACAAAGGATGAGCAGGAGAGAAAAAAAATGTTCGTATTTTTCTGGTAAAGTGAAACCCAAGTGTAATTTGTAGTGTGAATTTTCAGTCACAGTATTACAATGAAAATGCATTTTTAGGAATCTCTTTGAAAATGACAGAATACCAGTGTAGGTTCCAAGTTTGAACAAGATATTGTGCAGAGCCAGTTTCCAGAGTTAACACTTGGGACCCTGCAATACGCCATTTACAGCTACTGCCCTTGGCTCCACTTTTGTCTTGAAGTCTGACTGCTCTAAGGCAGCCCTTGTGGAAGCAGTCACACGTATTCCTCAACAGCTGCTTATTGATATTTTATATAATGCTGCCAGCTAGTGGCACATCTTGCACCGAGTTGATAACTACTGGAAGTGTAGAGAGAGTGGTGTTAACTACAGTCTGCTCTACCCCACTTCTTTTGATGGTTTATGGTGATGTGGCTATTAGAAACCATAAGGAGAAAGATCAAAAAAGGGAAACAGAAAGCCCATAGAAACGCTCCCTGAAAGAGCCTGTTTTAACACAAGGTACTTAAGAACATAACAAGAAGAAACAAAAAACCTCCCTGAAACCATACAAACCACATTATTTCAAACAAATGATTGTGTTTAAAAACGATGCAATATCTAACATGTTTCAGTTTTTACAAAATCTATTCTGTTTAATACACAATTATTCCATAATCTAATAATCTCTAGCAAAACATTAATCTTCCTGATAAACACTCACTATGGCAAACACGCAGAATGCTAAATATTCCACTGTTTTCTGATACCTCGGTCCAAATCGTTTAAGTGAAGTTTAGTGCCCAGTAAGTCAGTCCTGACTATGCAGTATGTTCTAAAAGAACATTAAAGTCTACCATTATTCAGTGGGTCCCCTCACAGAGCATGCTACTGTAGATGGGACTGATATGTTCAATACTGGCTAGCTCCATTAAGTATTAGGTATTAGAAGAAATAATCTAATACAGTTAAAGAGCATTTTAGAAATGTTTGGGTTTTTTTTAATAAGGTAGACTATAATTTGATAATATGAAGCTCGTAAAAAAACACCACAGCAATTTAAAAAAAATAGTCGACCTAATTTTAGAAATACTAAAACTCTAGTTATCCTTGGGGGTAAAAAGAGACTGCTCTGGTGAGACCCCACCTGGAGTACTGCGTCCAACTGTGGAGCCCTCAATATCAGAAGGATATTGACCACGTGGAGCGAGTCCAGAGGAGGGCCACGAAGATCATCAGAGGGCTGGAGCACCTCTCCTATGACGAAAGGCTGCGAGAACTGGGCTTGTTCAGCCTGGAGAAGAGGAGGCTCCGAGGAGACCTCATTGCAGCTTAACAGTATCTGAAGGGGGCCTACAAGGGTGCTGGGAGAGGACTTTTTACAAGAGCCTGTAGTGACAGAACAAGGGGTAATGGGTATAAATTGAAATCAGGGAGGTTTAGATTAGACATCAGGAAGAAATTCTTCACAGAGAGGGTGGTGAGGCACTGGAACAGGTTGCCCAGAGAAGCTGTGGATGCCCCATCCCTGGATGTCTTCAAGGCCAGACTGGATGGGGCTTTGAGCAACCTGGTCTAGTGGAAGGTGTCCCTGCCCATGGCAGGGGGGTTGGAACTAGATGATCTTTAAGGTCCCTTCCAACCCTAGCCATTCTATGATTCTATGTTTCCACCGTGGGTTAACAAAAAAAAGGCGTCAAGAAATACACAAAAACGATGAAACAAAGGGACAGTTCAATTCAAGGGATAATAGGAGTGCACACAAATTCAGCCAAGTATGGTCCAACCAGAGCAGTTCAGTAAACACATGGTTGGGGGAACTTTACTATGTCGGTGTGACAAACACATAGTTACTCTGGCTTATACACTGGAGATCATTTACTCCATAGAGGTGGTAGCAAAAACCGCATGATTACTACACTCCAACCAGCACTGCATGCTGCCAGAAGATAACTATTTTACAGTTACCCTAACAGAGTGTAATCTCGAGCGCTTAGTAAAATGGGCATAAACTGGTAATACGTACATCAATAGAGACAGACACAGACATTTAAAAACGGGGAAGAACCAAACCTGGAAATGACTTGGCAAACACTGTATGTAATAGCACAGCATGAACCCTCAAAGCAATACTGAATCCAAAAGCACAAACGTGAATCTTCCTACAGACAGAGAAACAGTAAGAAGAACTACATATGTGACATTACTTCTGTGTTAGCACTGGTGTTGTGCCTATTAGAGTTTAAGTCTTGTTCTACCATCTGCAATCAATAAGAAAGTAGCTGAAATACTGGAAAAAGTTAACAGAAGAGCCAGCCAACAGCACATCTAAGAACAGGAAAGCATATGGAAACTTTAGCAGAGTAAATTATTTGCTTTAACAAGGAAATTTGTGTAGATTGATCACAATCCAAGTACTCACACAACAAACAAAGATTAAGAAATCACATTACCATGTTTAACAGAGTAAGATACAATGTCTAGATACAGTATGTGAAGGTTAGTATTAAAGCATTTTCAGTCATTACTTTGTCTGCTGTTCAAAACAAATACCTGAGCTGTTACGTAATGAATTAATATAACAGTATTTTTTCTGGATCCAAACCCCCAGTTTGGATTTTTTCCCTTCCCGCCCCTCCTCCCTCTCCCCCACCCCACTTTTATTGAGAACAGTTTATGGACAATAAAGTAAATTGTTATTAAAGTCCCTCTAGCTTCCTATTCTGAGAATCTACAACATCAAATCTCTCTAAATGCCTCCTGTAATTTAAGCACAGAATTTTCTTCCAGATCCTAAATGTTTTAGACCTAAATGTTTTTATCATCCAGCTCATGATGCCTACATCTGTAGCTCATGTCAACCATAATTACAAATGTGAATTTTCTTTCTCAGCCTTAATATTATTTATTTCGATAGTCATATATCCCATAGATAAAATTTTCATTCAGAAATCAGAGCACAAATTTCAAATTTCTTTTTGGCAACAAGTAAAGAATATATCCTGAAGTATTTTGTGGCCAGAAAACAATCTTCTGAGTGAAAGCTAGCAAATTTTAAAAAGGAGAGCACATGGGTTATGATTATTTTTCCTTTTGAAGACAGAAGTTTATTTAATAAATTGACTGAAGTTTTGAGATGAAATATGCATATATCAGAACAGTTCTTCTGTCATTGTTTGATAAGGAAAAAGAGATACATGCCCATTATCAAACAAGAATGATATGTATAACTCTAAATGTTAATTATATAACAGTAATTACTCATTGAAGGTCCACTTACAGCTCATCTTGTCTCAGATTAATGCAGCCAGTAACTGATGCTTAGACAAGATCAGGACAAACATATCATCCTACTTCCCCGTTAATCCTTGTAACATACAGCGCTTCCTAAGCCATAAGCAATATATTAATATTTAAAAGCCACAATGATTTTTTCTTGCACAATGTTTTCCCCTTTGCTTTTTGAATCCGCGTAACGTTCTAGGATCCAACTCATTCCGTGGAGAGGATTTTCACAACTTGACTGTGTGCTTTCTTATGTTTCTCTCTGGTTTGAGATTGCCTTCTCCAAGCTAGAAGCATCATTGTTTGCCCCTCATGTTCTTGCACTGTTCATCAGATAACCACTGCTGGCTACTGGCCAACACAAATCAATGGGCTAAACTAATTTTTTGTCCAACCCAGTTCAGCTGCCCTAATGTTCCCACTGCAGTCACAGAACCAAAAATAACCTGCACTGGGATGACTTAAGGGTCTATGCACACAAACAACTGTGCTACACAAAAGAGTGCAACACATAAAATGCTATGGTAGGTAGATCTGCATCGCTGACCCCAGTAATGGAGTTTCTCAGCTAGACGAAGGCTGGTTATTGAGGGCTCATACAGTAATATTTTACAGTGATACAACTAGACTTTTATCAAGACAGTACTGTAGTTAAATAAACAATTACTTACAGACATTCCCCGTGTTGTCAAAACTTGTAAGAACATCTTTAACATTTAAGAGTTCATTGTGAAACCTGCGAAAAGAGAAATAGTGACTTTACCAATGTAGAAACAATAATTAAGAAAAAAAGTCTTCCCTCTTCAGAAAAGAGGTTCACCGCATGTGTTGACTTTACACAACCCCCTTTCACAGACAAGTAGCAAACAGGTACTACTGTAGCCAATGAGGGACAATCACCAGTGTTCAAAGGTCTATCACTGAAATCCATGAACCACCAACACATTTCTCAGAAACTAATATTTTATCAAAACAAAACCATTTTCAAAGAGCATAGATTTTTGTTTAGTTGTGGAAGTCACATAGGGGTAAGCAAGATTTTTGGTAAAGCAATTTCTTTGAAGAGGAAAAACAAAAGACTATTTTTGAACAGCAGCTGTACACACATTCCTATTTTCTCCCACAAAAATCAAGAACAGTTCATTTAATTAATGTGAACAATGAAACCGATTAATGTGTTCAGTGAACTGCATTTTCTTTGGTTTTACATTTGCATAACCCAAATGAAATAAACATTCAAACCGGGCTAATAAATTGATGGAGTTTCACATACCAACTGCAAATTTTAGAACACAGCAAAACACTGACGGCAGCAGAAAGAACATGCACCAAAGTTGAATAAAAATTTGCCTAAAACTAGATTTTTTTAACTGTTCCAAGCTAATCTGGGCCTCAAAAATGAATTAAAAAATCTTACACTTTACAGCAATCACATAGCTGTTTCATAAATGCATTAAAAAAAAAATCTAAGAAGTATTCAGCAAGGCAGTAATATACAAAAATAGTCTTTTAATAATGTTTCAAATGTAGCTTCTAAGGATGTTTAGGAACATGCTAACTTGAAACACTGCAAAATGGAAGAAATCCAACAATTCTAGCACCTATAAAATTAGTTCTCATTCTCTCAGCTTTTATTTCCTCATGGAAGGCTGTTGTATAATAATAAAAGAAAAATAAAATAAACTTTTTGCAAATATGAATCCATGTTATTTTAGAGCAAAAGTGTTATTTATAGCTTTTGATAAGCATAAGCATTAAAGAAACGTATACATGTTAAATTTTGAGAAGTGTGGACCAGAAACTAGACTAATTCTTAAAAAAATGAAAACCAAATGGAAATCAAGTTAATAGAAACTGAAATGAGGTCATAAACAGGGGCAACAAAATATACAGATCATCGGGACTAAAAGTGCCCTTGTTTTTTTTGCAAGTTTGTTTTTAATCAGATTGGCTAACCGATGCAACAGAGTTAATTCAAGGGAAGTGACAGGCAAGTGGACAGGATCAGTAGTTCTGCCAGCCACAGAGCTGCTCTTTAAACTGTCCCCTGCTGACTCCTCAGCGTCCTACGAACGCTGTAACTGTGCACGTGTCTGACACGGTCAGGGGCTCTCAGACAGCTGTGCACGTCTTGTCTTCTAAATCACTGTAAGGGGGTGTGTGGGAATGCTGAGAAAGTAAAGAAATATTTTAGTCTTTGTTGGCATGCAGATTAGTCCAAAGACAACATGATTTAATTGGGTTTTTTTTCTTCCCCTCAATTTCTTCATGTACATAGCCCATATATAAAGGAGATCTATCATGCAAATCTCCAAGCGAAGCAAACAAAGGTGAGGATGAACAATTCAGCAATCCAGTACCTGTAGTTCAAGAGAATGCTAAGAAGGAAGAAAAACGGAAGTACGCTGAGTGTCCTGGTCTAGAAAAGAACACAATTTATATCCTTCAGCATCAAATCACAGACAAAGGCAAAAAGAGGAGAGATAAAACCATAGCAGTGGCCTTAAAACTGTCACTAAACCAAATTTCAGGCTGTTTCCAGCCTGAAAGTGAGAAGTGGACAGCTCTGAGTACCTCAGCCTGAAGAATAAGCTAAGATTCCACAACAGATGGCATGTCACACACCAATTGTTTTTAAGGTTGTCCAGAAATTTTGGTGATGTTTTAACTCAACGCGTGTTCTTCATCTACATTATTCTTTTAGGTACCCTCAGTTTTCATTAAGGATCAGATCTTCCTCTGACTATAAAACATCATTTCCATAATTAAAATCAACACACACACATTTCAAACACATTCTTACATTTATTATGCTTTGGCCAAAAGCCAGTAGGGTCAAAGTGGAAACACAACACACCCGAACCTTTGCTCTCTTGGCCAGGACAAGTATTTTGCACAGACACCCTTTTCTGGCTGCCTGCAACATTCCAAGTCTCTTTCTCTAACTCTGTCTCAGCAATCTCTTTCTTGCTTTCACAAACACTGTTCATGGCAAGCACAGAAGTGAGACCTAATTTAATGATGAGAAGCACCCAGCCTTGCTATGAGGGACCTCTCCCTTCTCCTCAGTCTTCCAGGTGCCCACTCCACACTCATCCTAAAACAGGACAAGGTTTAACAGCTGCCTCCTTTAGTCTGATCAGCTTACTGAACCTTCACTGAACAAAAGCAGGGAGCAAGCTCAATCTCCTAGAATGAGAGGAGTGGCCATTATCTCAACAGTGATCTGGATAGCAAACGAGTGATAAGGTAATCTTATCAACCGGTTGGAGCGAGTCCACAGGCCACGCAGATGCTCAGAGGGCTGGAGCACCTCTGCTATGGGGACAGGCTGAGAGAGTTGGGCTCGTTCAGCCTGGAGAAGAGAAGGCTCCGGGGAGCCCTTACAGCACCTTCCAGTACCTGAAGGGGCTACAAGGAAGCTGGGGGGGACTTTTTACAAGGGTCTGTAGTGACAGGACAAGGGGTAACGGGTTTAAGTTGAAAGTGGGGAGATTTAGATTGGATATCAGGAGAAAGTTCTTCCCGGAGAGGGTGGTGAGGCACTGGAACAAGTTGCCCAGAGAAGCTGTGGATGTCCCATCCCTGGGAGTGTTCAAGGCCAGGCTGGATGAGGCTTTGAGCAACCTGGTCTGGTGGAAGGTGTCCCTGCCCATGGCAGGGGGGTTGGAACTAGATGGTCTTTAAGGTCCCTTCCAACCCAAACCAGTCTGTGATTCTATGATTCTAATTTAACTCATGTTTCTGAAGCAAAGTAAAACTCCTTACTCTGGAAAATGAATAAATCAACTTCGGGTGTATAAATAAAGTCAGAAATAGTGATTTCTTTAAAATATATTAATGTTCCTTCTTCTTCAATTCAGACAACACAAGTGGCAAACTTTTACATGTATTTACAAATAGCTGTAAACAGTAGAATAAAAATAATCTTTCAGTAGAATACCTATTAAGGTATTCTTTTCATCAACCTTAACGAAAAAAACCAATGTTCCTTCTTTCTTATTATTCTTTAACTGAATGAGGAGAAATAATACAAATAACTAGATACATACACTAAAGGGGAAAAAAAATACAAAAACTAAAATAGACTACATTTCCATATAATACTCAAAAGAAAAACACAACACATCACCATATGTTATTAACGTGGATACAAAATAAAACTGCATTATTTGTGGAAAATGAAAGACAGAATAAGGGTGAATAAGTTACTGCTATGGGTACTTTACAAAAAGTCTTGGTGCGTGTCACCATCAATTGTCATTGCAGCCCAGTAAGAATCTCAAGAGTTATCTGCATCTGATCAGATGCTTTTCCTGGGCCAGAGTATATCAGAACAAGATAACTCATCTTTCAGTCCAGTTCAGAAGCTCAGCTTAATATAGTAAGAAACCAAAACAATGGCTTCTTTGACTACAAATTCTTTTTATAAACACACAAGTTTTGGGCAATATTATAGAATAGCTTAAGCAGTGAATGAAAGAAATATGTTGCCAAATCGCTTATCTCTTTCCCCACTTTCCTCCTCCTGCAGCCAAGCTGGCATGCTGCTAAATCCACACTGTCTCCTAGCACACAGTAAGTGGAAGGAAGTTTATCATATCCACACGAATTGTGCATAAGGAGTAGACAATATTCCTTGAAATCCGCTTCCTTTCATTTTCTTTTTTTTTCCTATCCCTAAAATGAAAAACCATTAGAACTTCAAAATGCTATTAGCAGAAATACCCAGTAGGACGAGCCAATAGAATTCACTCCTAAACCATCTTCTAACATACTACTTGCCACAGACAAATAACATGCCTCTCATTTCTAAACCAAAGGTCTAGAATCATCTGATAATTTCTTTCATAGTTTTATCTAAAGGTTCATTCACATTCAGAATAAAGGCTTGACATCTTGCAAAGAACACTTAACACTCTTTTTATCAAGATTTAACCCTTCCTATAAGCTGCTGACATTGTTCTTTTCAATTATGCATTTTAGTGTTTGAAACATCAAATGACTGATCAATGGAAAAATATTTTACCACAGAAATAACTTATTTCTTCTCTAATTGCTTAAAATGAGCCTACAATTTTAAAGTAAATCCATACCCTGAAAAAGAAAATTTGAAGATATTGATTGCTCCTTTTTTAACTCTAATAAAAGAATAATTTTCCAGTCTAAAAGACAGACACCATCTCCACAGTGAGACACTGCATCTTCATGATCTATAATCACTTCATTGCTAAAACTACTCATGTAAAATTTAAATTTAAAAAATCTACACATTCCTAAGAATAGAAGGATTTAGAAATGCAATACGAAATAAATGTTTTGAAATGGCTCTACTTACTATATATCTTCCTATCACTAAGAAAAGAAAGTATTTATCACATGCATATTTTTAACAGCAAAGTGAAATAAGCCTAAAGTTAAAAAAAGCTTGAACAAAACTAACAAATAAACATGAAAGTTTTAAAAATAAAAATGTGTTTTAAGGAAGAAAAGACCCAGAAAACCAGATAATATCTGTAATGAAAGTTATCTTTTTCCACTTCAAGCTTGCAAGAAATTTCACTAAAATGAGGTTTATATTTTTCACCTGCAGACTAGACTACTTCAGTTTACTGTGTCCAAATCTGAGTATGAAAACTGCAGCAGGATTCCAGCTTGAACTGAACGTGTCTATAACCTCCATGTTAGACTGCCATAAACATTAAGCCCGATTCCCAGGCTGACTTCCTGTCAATTCAGGGATTAATTTTTTAACTAACATTAATTGCAAACAACACTAGAGAGCAACATCATGTATGTATCCAGCCAATTCATATCAAGACAAGCATGTAGTGTGCGGGAGCATCAAATTCGGTACAAATCCAAATGAGATAAGATTAATCAAGTGAGATTCTGGATTGTAGCACACAAAATTTCATTTTGATACATGTTTCACTGCTGACAAAGGTAATACTCATCAGACACTCTTTTTCGTACCACAGAGCTATCACGAAGCACCTTAGTGCCTACACAAACTTCAGGAGACCACTTTCCACCATGTAGTGTGAATCTACGTTTCATTAAGCACACTATAGATCACTGTTTAGCCAGAAGAGTTACGGGGATATTTAAAATGACTCAATGATATTGTCACCTCAAGGATCTAGTCAAAATGGCCATAAATCCAGCTCAAATGTTTTAAGCAAAACTTGCCCTATATTGATGCTTCTGGCTTCCTGCTTTGGAAGGTTTGTTACTAAGAATGATTTTAAAATAAACTAGAGACAGAAAAACATGGCATAAGCTCTTCTTCCCCAAATGTGAATTCAACCTGAATTTGGCTAGATAAACAGCAGCTTATTAAAACAAGCTGTGCTGAGAAGTTCAGAAAAGCGTGCATATGACTGGTAGCTCCTACCGAAGATTCTATTTGCCTAACAAACTGGTCCCCAAGTCACTCTAGAGCAGTAATTCCAGCTAGGTCATAGCATATCTGAATATACAATTTGATCAGTTTTGATAGGCCTTGAACTGATATAGCTTGACCTTTAGACTCTTTGCCAAAAGCCACTAGCAACCTTATGAACTTTGTTGAGTATTTAGTCTTGTCAAGATATTAGCTGACAACCCTTTTAACATCCAACATATGCAATGAGCTTTCCCAAGAAGATGTTAATGCATAAGGAAAACATATGTAGATGAAAATTCAAAAGCACATTTGTCAAGATTTTAGAGAAGCCATAGCAACATCTTTTTCCTAACAAAAAGACATACAAAAAGGCTCTCCTACTCAAGCACATCATTCTGGGTTTACCTGACTGATGTTCTTATTAATAATATGTTCTTGTTATCTTGTTGAAATTGTTTCTATTGATAAAAATTATGATAATTAATATTTTTCCAATGGAAGGATAAAAATGGAAGGGAAGATCATCAGACACACCGAGGATCCTTAAGTTTCCAAGACACAATCAACTCCCAAAGATGCATTCTTATCCTCTAGATACGCAAGTTTCCGCAAGGAAAATTGATGCACTGTTATGTATATTAAACTGTTATATTTGCCCTCTTAATTTACTGCTTCTGCTAAAACAGAGAAGAAAATTAATTTAATACATACTTATGGTAAAGCAGACTTTGTTGCAGTTACCTATACTTTGTCCCTGGCAATATAAGCAGAGTATTTTCTCCTCCCTTTCATCACCATTCTGCAATATTCTGAAATAATAAGAATGCCATCTATTGCCACTGTTTCAATATAGACAGAAAACATTTTAATATAGAAGTGTAAGAGTAAGTAAGTTCTGATTATTATTCTTACAACTATTGTGATTATGATTTTCATAGGTCACTGAGGATCTTCTAGAAAAGAACAAGATACAGGGGAAAAAAAAGAATCTTCACCAGAAGATAATCTCCCTCTGCTACTCAATATACAGTTTTTGGAACCCAGTGTGAGCCTGCTCCAGCACAGAAACTGCATTTCCATTGGCTAAGTTCAGAGGAACACATAACCAGAAACTCCATACTTAAAATACTGTATAACCAATATTAAAGTCACGCATAAACAAACATACTTGTTCGCAATCTACAGTTTGAGCTGTGTCCTGTTATTAATGAAACCACTATTAGCCAAATAAAAAATACCAAAGAAAATGATGACATGGGAAGTGATGGGAACAAAAATGCACAAATATCAAATGTCAGAGCAAGATCAGCCTGACATTCCCTTGGCTTTTGTACTGCTGGCACAGGTGAACCTTAGCTCGCCTGCTACCTTAAAACTCCCATAATCAGTAAATCAAGTAAGAGACACCGAGTGTTGCAAACCATGGTAGGGAAATGAGAAGACTGAATGAAGTAGTTGAGGACTACAGCATTGCTCAGCTTAAATCCTTCCCAAAGGCCTTACATTTCCTATTACCAGTGTGTCTCTGAAGACCTAAAACCAGGGAAGAGGGACACTGCACAAAGAGATTAGGCAGACTGTGAGCATCCAGATGAATTTGTAGCATTCTCCAGCAGATCACTGGAAAAATCCATACACAGAAAAACCGCTGTACCTACTTCTGTTACAAATAGGCAGTATTTCAAGTAGTTTTCTTTTGAAGCCTTTTAGTGTCAATAAGTGTAAGCTTGGAAAATGGAAAATTAAGGCTTTATAAAGCTCTAAACCATTTTGTATTTGACTTTTCACCCAGCTGCAAATTTAAGGCAACCTGCATGTAGTGTTGTGGGACTGAAGCGGGAGTGGTGTATTGGGTTTTTTCTTCATGTCATTTTGCTTTATAACCTTGCAAAAATGTCACAGTTAATGATGGTCACTTGTTTGTGTTAGGTCTTACATTCTAAGACTGACTTTAATTTAAAGGTCCCAGTTAAATAAAAATGCACTTCACAATTCTGATGACTCAGGCTCTCCAGAATATCCTCTACTGTGCAGAGAATGCAAAATTCTACACCCTCAGCAGGGCTAATAAGGGGCTGCAAAACAAGTATTGATTCAGAGATGCTTAAGTTACTTTTGCAATGATACCAGTCAAGGCAAAAACAAGTTCTAGACAAACTGAACAAGGAAAAGGAGACCAAAGCAGGAGAAAGGAAGGGAAAAAAAACCCACAAAACAAAACCCAAACCATGTGGTAATGAAAGGAAGCTATAGACTTTTCTGCTTTGCTTAAGCTACTGAGAATTAATTAACATTCCTTCAGAGTGGTTTTTGTGTTTGTGTGTTTTTTGTTGTCATGGTATTTTTTTTAAATACAAATATCTTCATTTGTTTTACCTGCTCTAATATAAAACAGATTTCTTCATTAGGTACAAATTATTTCTGTGGGACAAGGAAATTTTTGTATTCCTTTGTTTGGCAAATTGGCTTCCAAATTCACATTTAATTTTACAAGAACTCTTAAGAAGAAAATTGAATAAAGTAGCAATCACTATCAAAAAGCTTTTAGATCTTTATGAATAACATCATGCCATTAAAATTTTTTATTAAGCTTACAAGTTAATGTGTTCAGGATTTTTTACACCCTATTTATATCTGAAAAATGTCAAAACAGAAAGCTATTAGAAATACAAAATAAATGCTCAAATTTGCATTCTGTTATAGGCACAATCATCAGTATCTTCATTCAAGCTCTGGCACTTAGTGAAATGTACCAATAAAAAGAGCAGACAAGCTGCTTACTGTAACAAACAAGTAAAAATAACATCTAACAGTTTATTTGTAATCTATGCCCTAGTTATACAAAACATTGGAAGAATGACTAATGAGTTTTATATTTGAGGCCCGTATAAGATCTTTGGAAGTACTTAAAACTTAAATGATGGTTACCTTAAGGACACACTATACTCAGGATAAAAGATGCTTTTATACTGAACCCAGGTCCCAGTTTCCTCTTCTGTATGCTGGTCTTCTATTGAAAAGAGATTGAACGACGTGAACCTTCTTACAGACACTTGTTGGAGATGCACATCTTTCAAGTGCTTTTTCTTCAGAACCTTTGAAATGAAGAACAAATTAAACATTAAGAAAAAAAATTCAATAAAAGAATAAACACAAGCTTATTTAACTGAAGAGGCAAGTCTGGAATCAACCATAATAGCTATGCTGTTAGCTAATAGCTATGAATAACTAGTCCAAGTATGACGAGACTGGAAAAAATAGCAGTGGTATTGATGGTAGGGGTCAAGAGAACGGGTTATGAATTTATTATGTGTCAATATATACAGTATCTCGAGAACTGTGAAGCAAATACACTGTGTTCATAAGGACACAAAGTCGCTTTTTCAACTCCTGCTCCAGCAATCCCATGCCAGAATTAGAGAGGCAGACTGGGTTCTTCCCTATCCTCCCATCACCACTATGAAACTTTCTGTGCCACTCACTGCCCCTATAGATTAAAAAAAGCTCAGTGATAGGTGCTTGCCAGGTAGATGCCTTCCTAGCTTAGAACTCCACTGCTGCACACTCACCAAACTGCTGCCTATCCCAGGCCCCAAACCTTCAGACGCCAGAGCGGCACAGTTCCCTACCAGGGTGCGTAAAGGGACTGGCGCATTAGCTGACCTTCACACGGGTGAGGTTATCAACTCCCCGGCACAGCAAATCCCAGCCCCCAGCCCGTCTGAGCTGTATCCTTGCACAGGGGACAAACAGCATTCCCCCACCAGAAAAAAAAGGCTTATTCTTTAGGCCAGTGACGTGGAAGGAGAGGTGTTCTGGGTTTAACTTCTTTCTCCTAACACTGGACAGAACACATAAATGCTACAGTTACATTTTTAAAAGGAAGATGCACAGGTAGTCCACAGTGATGAAAAAAATGGAGCAGAAAAACTCATCACTACAAACAGAACAACAGGGAATAGCTGCACTGAGTAGGAGAGCACCGCAATTTAGCTTTTTGCCAACCAGAGCTGACGTGGAATGAGAAGTAGCTCTCAAGAATTACAAAATTTGAAGTGGAAGCTTTGCGGAAGGGATGTGTACAAAAAAAATAACCTGTCCGTGTTTTTTTTGCTGCACCCAACCCTTGTTGATCGTGCTTTAACTGGAAATGCACTCACATCCAACAGCCTCACAATTTGGTGCCATGAACTATTATTTTGCAGGATACTTGGAAATACTACATATGTGAGTAGAGCGATTGCATTTGCTGTGCTGTTAGTTTCCAAGAGCAGGTCCTTCCAAGGCTTACTGCTGCTGGAGCTACTTTCATCAGCAGATTCAGCATATGGAAGACACAGGCATTTTCATCAAAATATTAAAAATAGCTGTATGCTGCCCACGCTATTTCTTCTACGTTTGTAACACATGGGAAAAATACACACATGAAGGACATTGCGAAAATGTCAGAACAGAAGGACCAAATTAAAACATGAGTAGAATTAAGACCCTCATAAAATAGTGGCATGCCTGAAGAAAAAAAAAAAAAAAAAAACCACAAAGCCCACAAACAAAAAAAACCAAACGCCAACCCAAAACCCATCAAAAATCCAAACCAACAACCTGACAACTGAAAAACTCACCAAGACCTAATTTTCAGAAAAGCATGTTGGTTTAGGGCTTTTTCTTCTTTTTTTCCCCAGCAAAGACAAGCCTTTACTAACAGGAGAAAAAAAAGTCCCAGTAGTGACAACACTTTTCTGTTTTCATTTTTTTGTTCTCCAGACACACCTTCTAGCCACTCTGTAAAATGCATTCTCTGGGTTAGCAAAAAATCTTATGAGCATTTGAGTACTCACAAGAACACTTCTCCCACAGCATCAAACTTAAATGAAGAGGTCTAAGATCTGAAAATTACAACAGCAGGTCAAATCTTTTAAAAACCTAAGCATAACTGAGAAAACATAGCACAAAGGAAGAATATGTTACATTATTTATATCTAACTGTATTTTTACTTAAGGATCAAAATACCTTTTTCCCCTCAAGTCAGTTCCTAAAAGCGTCACAATTGTATACAACCTACAAAGATGTGCTGCTGCTACGGGATAATCCACTGACAGAAACCAAAAGGTAAACAAATCTATCTAAGCTCAGAATAACGTTTTAAAGATATTGAAAGACAGTCTTCTCTATTTCATGATGCCCTTCCAATGAAGGCAAAGCTCCCTAACTTCCTGCACACTGCCAATATAATGAACACATCCCAAGGACCTATAAAACCAGTAGCAATATCAAAACAAGGTAAAGGCTTCTTGGTAGAATAGAGACAATTCTTCTTTTTAGTCATAGCAGAGCAGAACTAGTGTGGAGGAATCACTGGACACCACTGTTCTTTGGTTGAGGCTGGTGGCCTTTTCATTTCCTCCCTCAGAAATTTTCAGCTAAATTTCTCTGCATATTTTTATTTAAAAAAAAAATAAAAATCCAGAAGCCTTCTTTCACTCTCTTCAGGGTCTTCTTTCAGTACCGAAAGGCCCTGTCTTCCACATGAGATCTTTACAGGTATACACAGGTGTTGAGCTGGCACATGCGTCACACATATAAATACTACTTAAAGAAATAATAACATTTCAGGTTCTGTAATGAAAGATTCTCTTCCAACAGTTAGGTTCCTTAAAAGAAAAACACTCCAAGAACAACAACTAAAAATCCCAATGCAAGCTTCTACCCTGCCATTCTCCTTCTGTCAAACTTGTATCTTCTTTCCTCTCTAACTTCCCCTAGCAACACAGGAGTCTAAGGCAATTCTTTCTCCAGTAACACTTTTAACACTAAAATTTAAAAAAAAAAAAAAAGCCAGATAGCATCACCAGACTGTCTCCTGTTTCAGAAATATTCTACTAAAATATTATCATAGATCTAAATTATTACAGGTCCCTTAGTATTTAATCACAATATTAAGACCATATTTAAGAATCCCTATAAAACCTTAATATGTTTGATCACCTTAAAAAAACAAAACACATGGAGAATGACAGTCACCTGAAATTTCCTGCATTTCTTCCATCTCATTGTACATGGCCTAGTTGCACTGAAAGCCAAATTCAGCAACAGCTGATGTTCTATTAACCTCCGCACGGCCTATGGCAATGGCCTGAACACACTCTGTACATGCAAGAAAATTTCTACATAATCAGCTACAGCGTAATCTGTAACTATACCACCTCTAAATATCATCAGTAGGGCTGTGCTTTAGTTATTTTTATAAAGAGTTTGTTCAGTAAATTGTTTTATTCAACTGTAAACAATTTACAAACTCAAGACTAACAAAAACATAGAAAAAGATCTGGAGCACAGGCATTCTTCACAGACAGAAGAGCAAGAAGGAAAATTGTTTTAGAAGTTCTTCTGTTGAGAAGAAAAAAAAGAAGAAAACAAGAAGAAGGGAAAAAAAAAAAAAGGCTACTGCCCTGTCCTCAATTTAGCTTTTATTTTTCAATTCTGGAAGCTGAAGCACATCAGGAGGTGAACAAGACACCTGTGAGAAGAGCAAGAGGAAGGTACCAGTCAGGATAAATACACAGAGCTCACAGATTTCCAGAAAGTTCCCATTCAACTTTCTAGAGGGAGCAAGTGTATACATAGGGAGCAACTTAGTTTATGCCTATTCCTCTAACTTCCCTGCTAGAGATTACAGACTGAATAATGCCATCAATCACACAGACCGGCAGAGCTCAAAACACAGCCTTAAGAGAATGCAGTCCAGTCATGTATAAATGCACATTGCATGTGTAACTCATCTTAGCATTTTTAAGCAAAAAAATATTTTCCTCGATTCTGACACGCTAAGTTTAAAAATACTGCTAAACTTCAAACAGTACATACATAAAACATCTTATTGATAAAGAACATATAGGCAATTATGCAAACCCCTGGTTCTTTATGCTAGCTTCATAGGATACCCGATAAAAGGGCTTTTTTCTTAATTAAATCAGCAAGAACGCACTCAAGCATCCTTACCGTAGCAAATCAATTTGCGTATGCATTGAATAAGAGCAAATTCAATATATAAACACACCACAGAACTGATTTCACATAAGGTGTTATTATAAGCAGTATGAAAAGCTTTTTTAAAAGCAGTGTAAGAAACACTTTGCAAGTGCTCCTTTGAAGATGGATATAAAGGAAGGTTGATACCTTCTTCCAATCCATAGATAGATCCAAGCGTCACCGTAATAAAGGGTGAAGAACTGATTTTTACTTCAGATGTAACAGTAAGATTAAATTGATCCTTGCTCATCGTACCATACAGAAATCAACAGAAAAAGCTAGAGAACATGAAAAAAACCTGGGAATCTCTAGAGGAAAAGGTCACAGATACATGTAGCTTGAAGATGAAATGGAAGTCTTCTCCCTAAATACCTACACACACTCCCCACATCCCCATCCAATCATTAGGAAAAGTTTCTTATGATTTTAAGAGACAGGGATATGCCAAAGGCCACATGTTGAAAAGAAGTAAGAGCTAGTATAGCCCCAGAGTGCAGCGTACAGTCTGCTACAACAGAAACCCACAAGACAAACCTGATATTCCTACCAGTAACTTCAGCATTCCCTGCTTTAGGGCATAATAGAACAGAAGTCCATCCTGCGGAACAAGACGGGGGAATTTACAAACCGAAACACAGACAAAGAAAAGGTGAATAAGAACCTCCCCACCCCTCCCGCTCTGTTATCTCACAGCAACCGGGTGTCCCTTTCAACCCAGCTGCCACCAGCGGACCCATTGCCACCACTCTGCTTTTTGGGGAGAGCTCCTGACGGGCAGCTCCAGACATCCACTTGCACAAAACTAAACATTTCCTTTAGGGCTCTAAATATCCCATCCCCTAACAACCAGTGAAACTGATTGGAGTTTTTAAGCCTTTACACATGTGCTCATCTGCAGAGGAATCCTCTCCAACCTTGACCGCCCCTAAAGGGTGCAAAAACGCATGGAAGGCCAGAGCTCCTGTTCCTCCTCCTCGCGCTCCTCCAGGCAGGGCCCCACCCACCAGCTGCCACTGAGGTACCGTTTTCTCTTGACAGCTGGGTGGGCTCCCCATTTGGGGGCGGCGGGAGTGGGGGGGCAAAGAGCAGGAACTGGCTACAGCTACAACCACCAAGTCCCGCAGCATCGACCCAAGTTGTCAAAACCACGGACGGAAAATCCCAAGCCGGTGCCCTCAGGCTGC